GAACACTGCTATCAAGTTGGGCGAGTACCAAGTACACAAAGTCCAGCCTTATGACATGCTCATGTAATCTTTGTGGTTGCACTCGAGACGAAACTGTCGGTGTTTCCGTCTCCCTGAATGTGAAGAGTTTTGGGAGTCGCTGTGAATTACTTCAGATGCTCGATCTTGCGATTTTAATGCTCTTGCTAGGCTGACACATAACGTAAAAATATAAGTGGGTTAACGGGTCATAATGAAAAGAAGGTGCTCGCGTACACAGAAGTGTGTGACTATGCAGCTTTATTTTTACTTTTTAGAAAAGAAAAAAAAAAACATTATTTCATTTGTGGCGTTGTGACATTCTCCTCTCTCTGAGACATTTTCTGCACGTTAACGTCAGGTTTCATTTAGTGGAAATGTGCTGTGGATCACATTGTCTGAACAGTGAGTCTGATTATTAAGTCACATTTGTTTCTTTCTTTCTGCATGAGGATCTACGGTTTATGCAACACGCTGCGTCATATTTCAGTAGTCCCATGCGACAAAAGACTAAATATAGTATATTTCAGGTGATCCAAAAACGTACATAAGCAAAGTGGTGGCATTTCTATTACGAACTTTTTCTATTTTGGCAAAATGGGAGTTTATGGGAACAACAAAACACTTAAAAGTTGCCCAACAACAACCCCCGGTTAACTACTTTGGTCTTTTCTAAGTTGCTTTCTCTTCAGCGCGAGTTGTTCGACCGACAAACTAACACAAACACACAACACTAACGTTAAGTAGTTTATAAAGCCGTTACTTTCGAACATTAAGCCTTTCTTCAACCTGAACCTGAACGCAGTAACTCCAGCCTGTGCGCGCTGAACCTCCTCCGGGTGCTGCACCGTGCTATCGATGTTCAGTTCCGCTTTCTTTTCGTTCCGTCAACAAACTTAAATCTCCAACCTCCGAATAAATTGATTTTTTTTCAACATGTAAAATGATTTACTATCATGAAATGATGGCGGGGGGGGGGGGGTCGCGTTTCCTGTTCCTCAATGTGCTGCTGCTACTGTTTCCCATTCACTGGTCTGCTCTGCTTTTCCTTGTGCCGGGCGAACGATCACCTGTCAACCTCGTCTGACTCCTTCTTTCGGAATGGCGCGCCTGACCCCAGTCGCTTAAAGACGCGCCAGCGGGCCGATCTGGGATCAGCAAAGCCTCTCTCGCTCGACGCCGGAGTGAATTCTCAAAATTACAGGAGCGGTTCGCGTGTGCGGCTCGTAACTGATCCAGCGTGGAAGGTGGGGCTGCCGGAGACTCAAGTCTGCCGCCCTGAA